AAAAATATGTTAATGGAAGAAGTCTTTATGAGCATACAGTATTCTAGTCATATGAACTTCAAGAACCGAAAAAACATCTATGACGATAGAAATCAGAATAGTGGTTGAGGTGGTGAGATGGTGATCTGATAGGTATTGACTGGAAAGAGGCAGAAAGGAGCTTTCTCAGGTGATGGAAAATTTTCTTGGTCTTGGTCTGGTTGGTGTTCACCTAAGTACATACAGTTGTTAAAATTCATGAGCTGTACACTGAGGATGTGTACACTCTTGACTATCTAACTTATATGTTATCTAAATTATATGCTATTAAAATATTGTCAAGATAAAACTGAAAAGTCAGCCACCATTTATAAGGCAAACTTCATTGAGAACAGGTCTGTTTATATTTTAAAAAATTTTATTTGTAGATTTCCTCATTAGCATTTGTTCGAGGCTGATCTCTGATCTAGCAGTATTTTGTTTGCAAGATATAAAGTTATCACATTAGGAAATTCCCAGCATTTACTTTCATAATTACCTTGGAATCAGAATAGTATGTTCCCTTTGTTACATTTCACTTTTACTTTCATTTCTAGATTCCTGAGTAGAGTCCTTATGCATTTATCTATTTTCATATTTTATTTTATTGTTATTCCTCACCCAGCATATTTTTCCCCCCATTGATTTTTAGAAAGTGTGGAAGGGAGGAGTAGGGACAGAGAGAGAGAAACATCAATTTACATCAGGTGGTTGCCTCCTGCACACACTCTGAGTGAGGTACATGACCTTGACTCTAATCAAACCCAGCACCCTTCAGTTCTCGGGCTAATGCTCTCACCACTGAGAAAAACCGGCAATGGCTATTTTATTTATTTTAAATTTATCTTTATTGTTGAAAATAATACAGATTTACCCTCCCCCCCATTGACACCTTCCAGCCCACCCCCATGCCCTGCCCCAGGTCTTCACCCCACTATTGTCTGTGTCCATGGGTTATGCATATAAATTCTTTGGTTAATCTCTTTCCACCTACTCACTCTCACATCCCTCTAAGATTTACCAGTCTGTTCCATGTTCCTATGTCTCTAGCTTATGTATTTCTTTAATTAAAAATGTTAGAAACTTACAGTGCAATAGCATTAGCCTGGTATTAAAGTTGTTACCACATTATTAATATGTGGAATTCCTTTCAGAGAAAAAAATTTTTAGCATGATCACTCTCAGAGAAAAAATACTTTAAAGTTGATTATTTAATAATAGAATATTGAGTATGTACCATTGGTAAGAGTCATCCAAACTCCAAACCAGGAATGGAGTGAAAAACACTCTCACACACTTGTATCTTGCTTACACATTGGCAGCAGAAGAAAACTGGATAACTGGAGAAAGTAATGGCTCTCGGTGTCTATTTTGCCACTTTTCTCAAACATTTCCTTCCTTATTTCTATCTCTAAAAGAGTATTTGGAGAGAACATATATTTATTTTTAAATATATTGCTGGAAAGAAGAGAGGAGGCGCATTGCATGACATTCGTGCACTGGGGGGCGGGGAGATTCCCTCAGCCCAACCTGCGCCCTGTAGCAGCCCAGGAGCCCTCGGGGGATGTCCGACTGATGGCTTAGGGAGTGAGCCTAAGCCACAGTCAGACATCCTTAGTGCTGCTGCGGAGGTGGGAGATGCTTCCACCACGGCTGCTGTGCTTGCCAGCTGTCAGCCCAGCTTGTGGCTGAGCAGTGCTGCCTCCGTGGGAGCTTTCTGACTCCCTGGTGGTCAGTACGCATCATAGCAACCAGTCGTTCAACCAGTCGATTTGCATATTACCCTTTTATTATATAGGATTCCGGATATTTAAATAGTTAGAGGGGAAGTGTAAGTAAGATATGGAATACTATTAAAAATTTGAATGCAGTTTTGGAATAAAGTAGGCCCAGCTGGATAGATGGACGCCATTGTTGTGAGTCAACAATGACTTATTGAGCGTCTACTATTTGCAGGTGCCCTGCTAGCACTAGCATAATGCTGTGAGCAAAATAAACACAGTCCTCGCTCAGAATCAACTTAGAATTGTAACAGGTAAACAATTACTTTTTTAAAAATCAGCAATTAAAGTTGTGCAAAATGCTCCAAAGGAGACATATTGATCCACTCCAGGACCTGACAGGTCGGATCACAACAATCATTATTAATGGGAAGAACTTGAGGATTCTAATCACTTCAGGATTTCCTGGTCTTGAAACTGAGATAAGTGTTTTTTTGAGTGAACGTACCAGTTCTTTACAAAGATTTAGCCGTGCGTCAGCAAGAACTCAAACAGGTGTAAGAGAATTAATCTGATGTTATATTTGCATAGGTAGTTTTTCTACATGTGGTTTTTCCTAAAATCGATCTGCTTGAAACCAAGATTATGGTTGCCAGGTCTCTTCTGTCTTCTCACCAACCTTTTCACAGCAGTTCTCTCTTAAAAAAAACCCTGGCTAACCTCTCGCCCTCCTTGGGTTTTACAATGGTGTGTTGACCCTGGCTGTAAAATATTCATAGTAATGTTGAGAAAAGGAATGTTTCTAATACCTGATATATAGTTGCCAGATAAAAGATAGGCACACCTTGCTCTAACTGATTTGGCTCAGTTGAGAGAGCATCAGCCTGTGGACTGAAAGGTCCCAGGTTCGATTCCGGTCAAGGGCATGTACCTTGGTTTTGGGCACATCTCCAGTAGGGGGTGTGCAGGAGGCAGCTGATCAATGTTTCTCTCTCATTGATGTTTCTAACTCTCTATCCCTCTCCCTTCCTCTCTGTAAAAAGTCAATAAAATATATTTTTAAAAATATATAGGCACACCCAGTTAAATTTGAATTTCAGATAATCAATATATTCCATGAATAATGTATTACATGATTTATTGTTTATATCAATTTTAAATTTAACTAGAGCAAAAATCTATTTTCTAAGTCATTGGTTTAAACAAAATTGAGCTGTCTACTGATAAATTTTTGGAATAAAGGTCAGTAAGTGACTTTTGGGCTATAAAACAAATGTTTAAAAAATTGTGAGAAGGTTGATATGATAACATTTCTCTGGACCTATCTACATATCTATGTGAAAAAGATTTTTCCACACTTACAATCTTTAGAAATGAAAAAAAGGAACAGAATCTGTGGTGAACCTTATCACATTCTAGTAATTGGTAATATTCATGAACACACATGTGAATAAATTGTTAAACTATAACCTGCAACCCCAATAAGATTGCATTTATAATAGAATTTTACATCTTATCTTTAGTAATTATCAATATTTAAATATATTTATATTGTTTTGATCAATTATGTAATAAATACCAAAAGTAATATACATGATAATGCAATCAAGGAGAAATTTTTCTTTAACTTGCCAAAACCGGTTTGGCTCAGTGGATAGAGCATCGGCCTGCGGACTGAAAGGTCCCAGGTTCGATTCCGGTCAAGGGTATGTACCTTGGTTGTGGGCACAATTCCAGTGGGGGGTGTGCAAGAGGCAGCTGATCAATGAGTCTTTCTCATCGATGTTTCTAACTCTCTATCCCTCTCTCTCTTCCTCTCTGTAAAAAATTAATAAAATGTATTAAAAAAATTTCTTTAACTCTTAGATGTTTAGATCACAGGGAAAAATATTAAATATGGCAGAGTGGTCATAAAGATGTCCATTATAGCCGGGACCGGTTTAGCTCAATGGATAGAGCGTCGGCTTGGGGACTGAAGGGACCCGGGTTCGATTCCGGTCAAGGGCATGTACCTTGGTTGCGGGCATATCCCCAGTAGGGGGTGTGCAAGAGGCAACTGATCGATGACTCTCTCTCATCGATGTTTCTAACTCTCTATCTCTCTCCCTTCCTCTCTGTACAAAATCAATAAAATATATTAAAAAAAAAAAAAAAAAAAGATGTCCATTATGAATATATATTAATATTCTGCAGAAGTAGAATGTACAAAAGGAAATAATATAAAATTTTCAATTATTTTTTACAGCTTTTATTTATTTATATATTTTAATCCTTTATTGTTTAAAGTTTTCAATTATTAAAGATGAACTGAGATGTTAATTATCAAAGGGATTGTGGTAGGTGTCAAATGGCTATGGTATTTGCAGTCCATCGAATACATGTCAAAAAGAGCTGGGTCGATTTTATTCTATAATATCTAGGTCTACATTTTGTAGTTCCTTAGCAATCACTACAGCTTTTATGTTTTAATATCAACTTACAAATGTCCCAGGAAAAGAAGAGTTTTTCAATATGCGTTTGGTGGGTACATGATCAAAAAGCGTGTAAGGCCCGCACAGTGTTTCCATCGTCTCCAAGCTGAATTGAAATGGCTTATAGTTCTGAGCTCAGCAGGCTCCAGGGTGGGGTGAAATCTCTACACCATAGTAAACAGACCAACTTAATCTTTCTGACAAAATTCTCCCAGCTGGAACCAACGAGCTTATCCCAGCCGCGGTGAATGCAATGGGCCTCCCTCCCGATGACCCCATGCATTATACTGTGGGCTCTGCTTCTGCTTCCTGGTTACCCTGGATCTCCTGGAAGGCAGGAAAGCCCAGTGAGCTCTCCCAGGTCATGAGCTCTCCCCGCACACTCTGTCCAAGAAAAGGTGCGTCCACCTCCTGCTGAGACAGGGAGGCTGAGGGCCGCGTGGCAGCGCAGGGAGCCCGCAGGTGCAGTTTCCAGGAGAAAAAACACCGCCTTTTCCAGGAGATCTATCTCCCCAGTGAGACCAACGATGGCCTTTTTCACAGACAACTCTGCCCCCAGGTAGGAAAACACCCGACCATCCAAAAAAAGTTTCAATGCAGGGAACTAATAAGGTGATCTCCGTCTTTAAAAGAGTAAAAAATAAACTGAAAAGGAGAATCATGCCACCTCTTTGCATGCCACTGCATTTCCACGCATGCCTTACTCTCTCAATTAGAACAAAAAGTTAAGCATTGACGTGAAGGTTACACAAAACGTTGTGTGTGTGTGTGTGTGTGTGTGTGTGTGCTTGCATAGACATGCGAGATGGACCTTTTCCAAATAGGCTGATCAATGATTATCTTCTCTCCGCGACTTATCGATATTTCCTCTGATCCTCGAACAAGGAACAGAGGTTCTTTCTTTCTTTCGGTAAACGCCCCCCGCACACACTAAGATGAAGAAATAGCGGTGCTTGTAGGTCACGGAAATCCCCGGGGAAGGGGAAGTGGCTGCGGTTGTCAGCCCGGAGTTCCCCTGGCGGGAGGAAAGCACCGCGGGGCGCGGGGGGCGGAGACGTTAAAGGCGGGGAGACTGCAGCGCACGAGCCGCCAGCCGACAGGTGTCCCCGGAGCCCAGGTCCCCGGCACCTCGGCCCGGGCAGCAGGTGCGTGAACCCCCTCCCCCCGTCCCCCACCCCCGCGCCCGTCCGGAGAGGGGACCCCGGGTTGGGGACCCCGGGTGGCTCCGCTCGGAGGCGCGCGGGGCCCGGAGGTGGCCGAGGGCCGGCGGGGCGGCGCGGTCACCAAACCCCGCTGCAGGGCCCAGGGGTCCGCTGCAGGCGGCGGACCAGGGACAAGCAGAAGAGTGGGTCCCCGGGAGCCGGGCGTCTTCTCCCTTGGCTGCCACCCCAGGGGAGGCGCTGGGCGCGGGGTGCGAGGGCTGCCTGCACCCGCACTCACTTTCCCTCTGCCTTCCTGCAGAGTGCTCAGTTCTCTCTTACTTGTGGGGCGCTGGCCAGTGCACTGGGGAAGCTTTGCTGTGTGGTTTACTTTGCTCTCCAGGAGGTATCACCAGGCCTTTGAGTATGCAAGTCAGCCTCAGAACAGAGCCCCGAAAAGCATCGAAGTAAGGTCTCAGTAAAATATTTAATGACTAAATGGAGGAATGTTCCCAGTGGTGGCAGGAAGCAGAATTTTGATAGTTTTCCTGGTGATCAGTATGGACATTGTGTAGTGCTCTTAATTTTAGTAAAGGGCTGGAGGCATTTGCCTAATGCTAACAAAGTAATATTAACTTAGTTTGCTGTTATGTGTTGCTAGCATTAGATGTTGCTAATACCTAGCATATGCTAGTACCTCCTCTGAAGACTGTAGAGGTGTTCTCACAATCTTAACAAGCAGTTACCACCATGAGCTCTGCTGACAGGGAGGAAACTCAGGCTCGGGGAGGTGTGCTTGCCCAAGGTTACACACCCTGGTCAGGGGAGGCTGAATGGCATTGGAAACCCAGAATGTTTGACTCCAAAGCCTGGTATTGAACCATCCCTGTGCAGACTTTGTGGTCATTAATATAAAATTGATATCCTTAACACGATGCCGATGAGGGTGTTGTGGTTATAGGGGAGCTCAGTCAAGTTTGCCCACATTCATTTCTTCAACAAAATGTCTCAGTGTCTGCATTATATGCCAGGCTGGGTGGATATTGTGGTTGGGAAAGCTGGTACAAAGTGGAAACATTAGTTCTGATTTGAAGGAGCGCACAGTCTAGGGCAAAGGTCGGCAAACTCATTAGTCAACAGAGCCAAATATCAACAGTACAATGACTGAAATTTCTTGAGAGCCAAATTTTTAAAACTTAACCTTCTTATGCCTCTTCTTCAAAATAGACTCACCCAGGCTATGGTATTTTGTAGAAGAGCCACACTCAAGGGGCCATAGAGCTGCATGTGGCTCGCGAGCCGAGATTTGCCAACCACTGGTCTAGGGAGAGTCAGGAAAAAAAAAAAAAAAAGCAAACTTATTCTATAGTGTCGGAGATATGGATATACTAAGCACCCAAGAGGCGAGAGACATCCAGCAGCTCTGGGCTCAGAGAGGTTGCTCACTGGAAGTGACAAGAGTAAAAAGGGAAGAGGCTGGGGACTTGAGCCAAACCGAGAAGGAAAGAGGAAATCCAATAGTGAGGTACCCGAATCCAGGGGAACCGAGTATGTTAAGAGGAAGTGGGCTCCAGTGTAAAACACAGTTTATACTGGTTTTGGCAAAGAAGCTGTTTTTATAAATATTGAGACTAGTTTTAAGTGGTGCTGGCTAAAGCCGATGCTAGTGGGAGACCTTCACCATAGACACTTACTTGTTCATGCAGTTGGCTGTGAAAAGAAGGTGAGATAACGGGATAGTTGCTAGGGTTCAAAGAGGAGTTTTTGGTTTGTTTTTATTTGAAAGCTGGGACAGACTTAAGCATGCTGGTTCTATTGAGGGAAAAGAGCCAGTAGAGAGTGAGAGTTAAACAAACAAGGGGCATGAGTTAAGAGCAAGATTTCTGAGGCAGTGGCCGGCAGGAATGGGGATGAGAATGTAAAGGGGCAAGTAGGTTGCAGGTGCTATCTACTGAGAGCAAGATGGAGAGCAGGGGAGGAGAAATGTGAGAACACGGAAGGTTTAGAAGAGTTGCAGAGGGCAGTGGGATAGGAGCTGACCAGGGGCAGGCAGAATTGTCAGGAATGATGACGGGCCAGCCACAGTGGTGCCTGAAGTCCTGCTGGTCCCGGTCTGCAAGGCTGCAGATCTCCCCCAGCAACAGTTGCAAGTCTCTGTGTTGCAGATGGTGAAGACAGTTTGAACTGATCCAGGATTGGCACCTTGGCAGATTTTTGTGTATATATATATTTAATTTTCCACAAACATAGGCCTTCTTTCCACATCAAAGCTTCTTTAGGTAAGGTCTGGGTAAGACAGGGGTAGGGGACTTATTTTTCTGCCAAGGGCCATTTGGATAACATCATTCACAGGCCATACAGAATTATCAATTTAAAAATGAGCCCAGTATATTTGGTCAAACGTTTCATTAACTCACCCCTAATGCCTTGGTTGGGCCAGGCCCAATGATTTCAAGGGCCTCAGACAGCCCATGGCCTAGATGTTCCCACCCCTCTGGAAGGGATTTTCGATCTCATACACCCAGGGGCCAGGCAAGGGATATAAATGAACAAAACTGTGGGTGTCTCTTTTAAACAAAAACACATGTAATCATGAAGGAATGTTCTTCCTTTCCACAAAGAAATATGGCATTCTCATTTTTTTCTCTAAACACGTGTTCCTTGTTGTCTCCCTTTCATTTTGTTACTTTTGATAGATACAGGCATTAGGACAGTTGCACTGTAAGAAATCAGGGGAGCCAGCTCAGTGACAAATAGCGCCTGACAAATAGCCAGTCTCCACACCGAGGAGTGAAATGCGGTGCCAAGCCGGAGAGCACATGCCCTCTCTGCAAGGGGCAGTCCTGCTCGGAGCTGGCTGGCTGTTGCCAGGTGGGAATGTAGACCCCAGGTGGCCAGATCTTCTAATTTTTCTAACATTCTAAACTAGGGAATGTTATGGGAAGTCTCTTACTTTTCAAAAATGTTGGCAATTAACTGAAACATTTAAAAATACCGTGGTCCACCCTGGCCAGTGTGGTTCAGTTGGTTGAATATGGTCCTGTAAAGGCTGCTGGTCCGATTCCTGGTCAGGGCACATGGCCTCGGTTGCCAGTTTGATCTTCAGGTGTGGGCAGGAGGCAACTGATCGATGTTTCACTCTCACATTGATGTTTCTCTCACTCTCTCTCTCTCTCTCATCATTAAAAGATTTAAAAACTTTACAACAACAAAAAGCACTGTGGTCCAAAAATGTACTTATTTAGAAGACAGGTGATATTCAAACAAGGCATACAGATGAATTAACAGCATTGTATTAATGCTAATTTCCTGGTTCCTATAATTGTACTATAGTTATGTAAGGTGTTAACTTTGGGGAAGTTGAGTGCATGGTATATGGGAACTGTTATTTTTGTAAGGTTTCTCTAAGTATGTTAATTTTAAAATAAAAAAGTTAAAAAATTAGTAAAACATTATAGTTAATTCTGTGTAAGCCAAATCTAATACCTCTACTGGCTCCCCATTGGAGCTCTCTGCTTTTTCTCTGGGCTTTCCTGGCTCTGCCATGTGCAGTACAGCACCTTGTGCACAGCGGACAATCAGTAATACTGCTGCTCTATTTTGGAGAAAATATTTTTTAAAAATATCATTGTATTCTATGAATTATTTGACTTTTAAAACTGTCTCTTTCTCTCTTTAAACAGGTTTTACAAAGGAAGCAAACTGTTTTACTTCTTTTATATTTTTTCCATTTTTTTTTTCTTTCTGTAAATCAAAACAGCTCAACATGGAGGCCTAAAATCTTTAAAGGGACTTAGTCTAATCTCCGGGAGGTAGTTTTGTGCATGAATAAACAAATTAAGTAGTTAATTAGAGTTTGTGGCTTCCAAAGAATGTTATCATTTAAAAAATATGATCAAGTTATCTGAAGTATAACAATAAAATAATATTGAGGTTTTTTTAATTTGACTATGGGGAAGTGATGTGAGTTGGGACACATTCTTGAAATACTCTTCAAAATTGGCTGAGCGACCTGGCTGCTGTGTAGACTAGAAAAAAAAGTACCTATGTTTGTTAAAGATTTAGAAATGAATGACAGTTATCTAGAACAAAGAGTTAATATTCAACCCTCTGTTAAATTAGAGATATATACAAACAAGACCTTTGACATGTTTAAAGAAATGTCAAGAACAAAACTTTTTGTTAAGTACAAGAACTTTAGACAAAGTAGAAAAGATGAACTTGACGATTGGTGAATAAATTATCTAACCATTGATAAGACAATTGGTATTTTAGATTGTTCAAATGGGCTATTTATCTCTGAGATTGATAAGAATAAGAACAATGGCTGGAGGGTTACATTTTGATAAAGGAACAACCTTATTCAGAAGTAAAATTTGCAGAGACAAAATAAACCCCAAAAAGGTGATTTAACAATGTGTAAAATTTTTGACCAGTGAAAAACTGAAATTAGATACAATAACTCACCTTTGAGATATGGGTGTTTTTGTTGTTGTTGTTGTTTTGTTTTGTTTTTTGCCACCTGGAAATAAAGCATTAAAGTCTGCAGTGGGAAATCTCAGTATAAAAACAAAAACAAAAGAAAGAAAAGAAAGATCCCAAAAGGAAACCGTGTTTACAAATTACTGCTAGAAAAACCATGATGACTTGTTTATTGCTCGTTGCTGATAGTATTGATGCAGAACCTATTCATTAGTAGCTAGTCATAATTGAGATAGTCTGAGTCTTTAGGTCTCTGCTGTTCAAAAGGAGTGGATTGTGACAAAGTAAATTTATTATTATTTTGTCTTGATAATTTCCAGTTCAAGGTATGCTATCTGTGGAATATTTTCTGACCATACCATATTTGTACCATTTGGCTATCCATCTTAGCCTATGGACTTGGCACTTTTGATTGTCTTAAAACTAAATCCACTATCAGAGTGGAAGATTTGATGTTAGCCCTCAACAGCATGAAGCTGAATTTCAGAGACCCACCGAGCAAATAAAATAGGATGTCTAATTTGCTAAGTACGATCTAATGGTATCACTATTGCAAAGCAACCAGGTTCCTGACTATTTATGATCAATAATTATTCTTTACCGTAATAAATTTTAAAATCAGGCCTTAAGATGTCTTATCAGTTAATTCTGTTACTACTTAAGCTCTATCTGGAAGAAAAGTTGGGATTGCTTTGTTCCCCGTATTAAAATGATTGTAGGAAGAAAAATTACTTAATCTGAGCAAGATTTGGGACATACTATATTTCATTGAATCTAAGATGTCATCCTATATAATAAAGGGCTAATATGCAAATTGACCTAATGGCAGAACTGGTCACTATGATGCACACTGACCACCAGGGGGCAGACGATCAGTGCAGGAGCCTCCCCCTGGTGGTCAGTGTGCTCCCACTCAGCCAGAAGCTGGGCTCACAGCTGGCAAGTGCAGTGGCCGGCCGTGGTGGGGGCCTCTCCTGCCTCCGCAGCAGCGCTAAGGATGTCTGACTGCTGGCTTAGTCAGACATCCCCTGAGGGCTCCCACATTGGGAGAGGGTGCAGACCAGCCTGAGGGGCATCCCTTCCCCCACAGTGCACAAATTTCGTGCACTGACCCTCTAGTCAATTATAAGGTATATCATAATTTTAGGTACCTCTAAGAAATAAAAATGCTGCTAATTAAAATACAATATGGCATTAATTTTAAGATACCTCCTGATAACAGATATTAAAACATGCATCTTAGAATCAGTGAACTATGGTAATGTATTCTTTTTCTCTTATGCCTTCTACCTCCCTCCCCCCCACCACCAAATTTCACAGTCTAAATAAAGCAAAACAAACATAGTTAGTGTTTATTTTTCTGTAGAGTACTTATCAAGCATAACTTTCCACCATGGGAGCAAGCTAGCTGTGTGAGTGGGACGTTTTATTGTTAGGCTGACTGAACGTCACTGAAGCGTTCTTCCATTGACCTGCCCGTTGACACCCAAAGGCAGCTTGCTGACCTAAAGCTCTCTACACTTACGAAGGGTTTGCATTTTCATCACAAGGTACTATAGAGCGTCATGCTTACATTGCATGATCATACAAAGGTGCTGCTATGGGTAATTGTTCCTCAAGATATACCCACGCGGGATTTTGATCTCGCTTTGCTAAAACCCTGAAGACATAGGAGAAAAAAAAAAGGACAAAATATTCCCGTAGTAGGTGTTCCAACCTAGAACTAAAACTAGAAAAAATCAGAGCCATGCACAAAACTACCTCCCTAGAGAAAGACTAGTCCCTTTTCCCTCCCCATCCATTTCTTTATGAACGTCGTAGAGAATAGCGAGTTCTTATCCAAGCTGATGAAAAGCGCCAGCGTGTCTGAAATGAAATACGACTTTTCGTGTGAACTCTACCGGATGTCCACATACTCCACCTTCCCGGCCGGCGTTCCTGTCTCAGAGAGGAGTCTTGCTCGCGCTGGTTTTTATTACACTGGTGTGAACGACAGGGTCAAGTGCTTCTGCTGTGGCCTGATGCTGGATAACTGGAAACAAGGAGACAAACCTATTGAAAAGCACAAGAAGTTGTATCCCAGCTGTGCCTTTGTTCAGAAACTAAATTCAGGTAACATTCTGGGAGCCACCTCTCTGCTTAATTTGCCTTCCTCGGTGACAAATTCCACACATTCAGTCTTTCCAAGTTCGGAAAACACCGGTTATTTCAGTGGCTCTTATTCAAGCTTCCCCTCAAGTCCTGTCAACGCCGAACCAAACGTAGACACGTCTGCCTGGAGAAGTCCCAACCACGGTGTCATGAGTATGGAAAACGCCAGGTTGCTTACTTTCCAGACGTGGCCACTGACCTTCCTGTCGCCGGCAGATCTGGCAAAAGCAGGTTTTTACTACATAGGCCCCGGAGACAGAGTGGCCTGCTTTGCCTGCGGTGGGAAATTGAGCAACTGGGAGCCCAAGGACGATGCTATGTCGGAGCACCTGAGACACTTCCCCCAGTGCCCGTTTTTGGAAAGTCGGCCTCAGGACACTTCGAGATACAGTGTGTCTAACCTGAGCATGCAGACGCAGGCCGCCCGCTTCAGGACCTTCTGTAACTGGCCCTCGAGTGTGGGAGTCCATCCCAAGCAGCTTGCAAGCGCAGGCTTTTATTATATGGGTAAGAAACTCAATCTGAAAAAGTTCAAAATGTCTTACACATCTTAGCGTATATAATAAGATGCTAAGTTTTGGCCCAACGTCAATTTCAGGTCACAATGATGACGTCAAGTGCTTTTGCTGCGACGGTGGCCTGAGGTGCTGGGAATCTGGAGATGACCCATGGGTACAACATGCCAAGTGGTTTCCAAGGTAACTGTTTTGAAATTCTCGTTGCAAATGTGTGCGATTTTTATGGGATGGGTTATATGTGTTTACCTTTGTAGTCAGCTGTTGGTTGATTCTTTGTTTCAGACATACACTTGTGGATAAATTTAGGATGCATTGCTTAGAAAAACAATGGCTTAAAATATTTTGATTGGGGGTGGGGAGTCCCTTCTCCTCCTCCCTCCTTGGGAGTCCATTCTGTGGGACTCTTTCTCTCCCCACATGGGAGTCTGTACTTGATCTTCAATAAATCTCCACCTTTGTTTAACCAAAAAATATATATATTTTGATGGAAATTTAAGACAAAGAAGAAATAAGTTTAGATTTTTTAAATTATTAATACATATTTTAAAATAATATATAAAACCAAAATCACATGTGGTAAACAGGTACAGAGACAAAAAAATTTAAAATGCACAGAACTCTTGGGAAAAGGGGAGAGGGGGATGTGGGAAGAGACTGAACATAAACTGTGCACCTATGGATGAGGACAATGGGGAGTGGGGAAAGGGCAGAGGGTGGGGTGGGAACCTGGTGGAGGAGAGCAATGGTGGGGGGGGGGGGAAGGAACATTTGTAACAATATGAACAATAAAAACTTATTAAAAAAATAAATAAAAGTTAAAAATAAATAAATAAATAAATAAAATGCTACAGCTACCATTTTAGTGTACATACTCCAAAACCTCTTTATGCATATGTACATATAGGGTGTCCCCCAAAATGTATACTCTTTGAGTAATTATAAAGGCAGTGTATATTAAAACACATTTCATTTTCAAAATTGAGGTATCAACTGTTGAATTTGGGACACTATGTATATAATTTTTCTACATGAATTATATATTATATATAGTGTTTTGAGGCTCTTTTTAAATCAATTTTATATCTTGGGTGTATTTCCATTCATTCAATATTCAATAATATTAATCGGCCATCTATTACCAGGCATTGTTCCAGACACTTAAAATACTTAGTGGGACAATACTAAGACTTATGGTTTCATACTGATTTTACAGCAGGAGAGGGCAGACAATATAACCTTAATAAAGAAGTCCTGTAGCATGTTGGAAGGTAATAAGTACTATGGATAAAAAGAAAGCAGAGCAGGGTAAGGGAGATCAGAAGTGCCAGACAGATTGCAATATTCAGTGGGGTGATCAGGGTACATCGCATTTAGCTTTTTGATCACTACCTAGCTTTTTATTGTCATGTCTTATACTTTTGATTATTCCATACTTGTTTTCGCTCTTCTTTTTTTATTAAAATCAGGTGACCTATAATTATATTTTTCATGGTTAAAACTTTTAGTATTTTTAATGTTGATTACTAAACGTGGCATCCTAACTTCTTTTCATTTCAGATGCTTTTTTAAATATAAAACTGTATTTTCATTTGCAGCAACATAGTGCTCCCCAAATATTTCAGATTTCAAAAATTATGAAGGGATAAATAATTACTTAGATGTCTTAAAAAGTGCTGCTTTTTGTAAATATGTAAAAAGAATGGTAAATTTGCTTTGGCAGTGTCATGGATTAATTTTTTACTTAAATTTGACAGTGGATGCGTTTTATCGAGGAAATGTCAAACTTGTGAATATCTGACTTAATAGAAGATATGTCTGGCTTCCTCATTCTTTCTTCTTGTTCCCCTTTGTATATATTTTCATCTTTGAAGCATATAAAGCTAATTTATGAACAGTATTACCAGAGACAGCCTTCTTGCTTACATCCTCTTGCCTTTGACTTCAGTGTCTCTTAACAACACTTCCATACGCTACATGAATAGTCAGATGGTTATATGCATATTTGTGTTAGTTTAAAATGTTTAGCAGCCTACAAACGGTCAGATTCAAATAACTTCTCAAACTTAATTTTGTTTACATTTTAGGTGTGAGTACTTGATTCGAGTTAAAGGACAAGAGTTCATCAGTCGAGTTCAAGCCAATTACCCTCATCTACTTGAACAGGTAGGGTCTTTATTTTTTTTTAATCGTTGGTTAACAACAGATAAATTATTTTGTAATAGAGAGTAGTATTTTACTACAAAGGCAAGACTTGCTTTAAAAATAGGTTTTCTGCCCTGGCTGGTGTGCTCAGTGGTTAGAGTGTCAGGCCACCCACCTAAGGGTCTCCAGTTGGATTCTCAGGGAAGGACATGTACCTAAGTTGCAAGTTCAATCCCTTGCCTTGTTGGTCAACATGAAAGTCTTCCTTTCGCTCTCCTTCTCTCCTCC